AGATTTAGGCACCAATCCCATTTCACTTCACTGTATTAAGGTTTACTCCTCTAACTGGATTAATCATGAAGTTGTTCATCTTTAGGACAACAAATCCAGCCACCCCAAATCTGTCTTTCCAGCAGACACAACACATTTATATGTGGTTGCTGTTTTTGTTTCTTCACTACTAAGTCTTCTTTCCAAGAAGCTACAGTAAGAGTTATAGAAACAAGGCCACAAAAATCATTTATAGAGAAATTAAGGTAATTTAGAATTTTACTCTGTATTAGCTAGAAAGCTACAAAGGACTGGAGCAAATTCCCTGAGTATCATTTTATAGCACACGAGGACAGCTGTAGTGCATGGAAACATCTTTAATGTGAAGCATTTTGAGAGGATGAAAAAGGCATTCATACACTTGTGGCGTGTAATATGTCTGAGGAATACGTGAGTTGACAGCTTTCACTTCTTTCTATGTCAACATGTCTCTCTGCTTTCCTCAGGATTTTCCTACCTCTATTTCTCTCTGTGTCAAACTTGCTGTCCTGTTTCCTCCTTTGCTCTCCTTTCCCTCTCCTTCACCTGTGCTTCAGTGTGTGTGTGTGTGCGCGCTTCACTGCTGGGTATTTCTGCTTTCACATATGGCGCCTTCATGTGGTAATCCCTTTAACCCACACACAAACGTGAGCACAAATGCTCCTCTTATTTGCTTGTCTTCCTGTCTAAACGAGGATGAACACGTCCTCTGGCTAGGCAGTCTTCTGCATCTGTTCCCTCTCTCAACGTTGTCATGTTCTCCAGCAGAAAGAGAGAAAACAACGGCGAGGACAAAAGACACTAAGAATGATGGACAGCTACTAACTGACATTTTGAGATAAAGAAAGACAGATGGAGAGTTGGTAGGCTGGTGCTTGTCTGCTGTGAGCAAAGATCCAAAGAGAGTTCCAGTAAAGAAACTACACATCAGCAAATCTATAGAAAAAAAGCATATTACATACTTTGCCTTCATGTTCCACTCCACTGTGTTTCCATCCAATTGTCAAATGTTAATCATCTTTTAGAACGTAACAAAACAATACATGCCAAAGTCATTTTCCATCAGCCCCGCTGAAGTAAAAACACCTCTCTAACAGTGTTGCTTATTCAAAGACAAAGAAACTGATCATTGTTCGGCTAGTTGCACTTGTTATTTTGTCTCGCTAATGTTAATTTTTCATGCTGGAGCCTTTTGCAATGTGAATTAATCATTTACTGGGCCTGTTGAGGCCAGACCAGTGTCGTTATTTATTCAGTAGATGCATTTTATTCCATAATTTCCTTTTTCACAAAACACTTTCTCGTCTCAAGTGAGCAGAAAATTGTCTTACACTGAGGGAATGTCATCAAAATTGGCCATTTCCATTCAGTCAGACTAATTTGATAGAACATAATTTACATAAATAATATTTGGATAGAATCACAGTGATGAAGGGAAATAAGAACTGTGTTTGTCAGAGAATCAGTTGGGAGGACAAACTAATATCATCTCTGGTGGTCCAGTCTGAGGTCACTGGTGAAAAGAAATAACACTAAGACTACCACTGAAGGCAAATACGCTTCCACTGACACAGAAACTAACTATTAAACTAACAATAATGGTTTGGCTGTGTGTTTGTAGATGCACTCTTTTTTTATAGCAACAAAAATGTAGCACATGCTGTGTCCACAGCAAACGGACAACAGCCCCTTTGACACTGTCCATCAGATGCAGGCACTTTCCGCATCATTGTTCTGCATAAATAGTACAGTACCAGCATGAGGGGGTCAATGTTAACCCTCCAAAATACCGCAATGAGAGGTAGTATTTTTGCTGAGACAGGTTCGCCCCACCTCCTGTCTAAATGGAAGAAGGCAGAATGAGGGTTTGCAGGTCCGTGTGAGAGGGACAGAGAGAGAGCTAGAGAGTGAATGAGGAGAGAAGGCAACATCAGTGAGAACGAAGTAAATCAGAGAATTACAACATTATTTTGTGATCATTTTTACATGATTAGTGTTTACATTCTAAAGTAGGAATAAACACAGAATAAACACAGCCAAACCACTGCACACCCCTGTGGGAAGGAACCCTTTTCATGAGTTCAGTATAAAAGGGGTTAAAATAAAAAAAGGATGCCTTGAAGGAAGGTCAAAACACCAGACATCTGCCACAATCTTTGTGTAAAACAGGTTGGAGGAATTATATTGTAGGTTGTAGCACTGATTAAATGTTTGACACAATGGCTACAATGATTGTTAAGTAATCTATTTATGCTATAAAATGTCCACTGTAACTTTATTATTAAACCATAGAGAGGTCTTAAAGGGTGACACGCAAACACATACACCACAGCAGTGTTGACAGTCAGATGAAAAAAATTCCAGCATAAGAACTACTGGAAATCCACCCAACAAAACGTTAAAACTATCAATACACAGTACTGTAAAGTAGACCTGCCTTATTTCTGGTCGATGTCCCAGTGGAGTGCTGGCGAGCTGCCTGCTCTCTCTGTCTTTTTCTGCTCTGCAGAGTTTCAATGATCTGAATATTTGTCTGAAAAACTGCAGCCTAAAACTGAGGGTTTGTCAATGTGAATCTTACACTGCATCTAGTGCAAACTAGCAAATGTTCTGTAGCCACTGCAGTGGTTCCACATGTGGAACAGACCAGGCTGAGTAGGATGACACTGCTTTTCAAGTCCGTGATTGGTGCTCTAGTTGTGCTTCTAGTTCTAATGGACCTGAAGCTTTTTGCTTTCCTTACATTTGCTAACATACTCTGACCAAGAGATCAAATCTTTGTCTATAGATTAATGCTACAAAACAAGTACATTAATATAAAGTTATATGGTAAGGTTTTTACATGGCGAATCAGTTTTATCATGCTAAAGTTGACTAATCAATGACTTTTCAGCACTCATATTTTTTAAAGACTAACCTTGTGGAAGCTGCCATGGAAGATTCTTTTGATTCCAGTTCCTTCGAAGGTAACATTCTGGAAATCTCCTTTGTAGTCATGATTGAAGAATGTCAAGGTCTTCCCAGAGTCTGTAGAGGAGCAGAGGACAGAAACTGTTGATGTCTGCATCAAGCAGAAACTTGCCTTGTACACACCGTCTCCTGCTAGTTGAGTCCAGTCAAGATCTGGTTTGTAACAACAGGGAACCACATGTGCTGGACAATACTGCCAACTTGACCTTTGTACTCCTCTGCTATTTCTCTGCATTTAATACAAACCTTCATTATCACATTATGATATATCAAATCCTTGTCACTTGAACTTGCAAGACTTTTTAATACCATTGTGTGTTAAGTTCCATGTAGAAACATTTTCACCAAGCACTAAATGAACTGCATACTGCTAAACATATTTGTGGAAACGAAAACTAAGCTCACAAATTTACAAATTGTTACTGGTCATGTCTCTGTGAGACAAAATATGGCAAGCAGAAAAATTAGCACATGGACAGAGAAGGCCATCTTTTACTTTTTGGAGCCAATGAGTCAGACCTTCCGCAAGCAGAAGAGCTCAGGTATGTCATGAATCTTAATGAGGATTGAGAATACATGATAAGATGAAAACTTACTGGAACAAAAATGTACTGTACTTCAGCTGTAAATAGTGATTTTCTCCAGAGTTACTTCTAAAATCTGCTGCACTGTTCACTCTCACAGTTTCTTTGGAGGCAGTGGAAATGCAGCAGCTGCTGTTTGAGTTTGTACTCATCAGACTCTGATGTACTGTCATGCAGATGAGAAAAAGAAAAGATTAGCAAAAACAGAAGTGATTCAAACTCACTGTCCAGGATTAGTCCCACAAGTGGATTGCCGTTTTTGCTGAGGATTTCCCACAATGCAAAGGGCTCCTGTGGAGTCTCAGGAAGTAGGCGGAGCATCATAGAAATGGTGTAGTCAGAGGGTAAACCCTCAGGGTGAAGGTACCTGGTACACACATGAAAGAACAAGCACTCACATACAGACTGTGAGCTTGGCTGTGCCCTAAAGCCACGTCATCTTTTTCAAAGTGCCATTGTCTTTTCTCAGCTGTTATGAACGCTTTAGGAGAGCTCCTAACTGCCTTAAATTTTCTTTGAGTGCCAGCCTCTTTTTGAACACAGAGCCTAGACTTTTTTTTGTGCAGCTGCCTCCGGGCATTTCAGGTTTAAATTATCTTAGCTTTGACTTTTCAGAGCGCTTGTCAATGTCACTTTTTTACAAGCTGAACAATCAGAACAGGGAGCTAAAGTTAATGCTGGCTGACAACATAGACTGAGAAAAAGCTCCTAAAATGATCATCACATCACATCACAGAAAAATAAAGTATTTACAGGAGCACAACTGGCACCACTGATTGCTCATGTTAAGTTTCTGTATGCAAAAGTGCTACAGCTGTGCATTACTCGGCGTTAACAATCGCTATGTTCATTGCTGTATGTGCAGTAAAACCTCAGTGAGTTAAAAAGAAATTCACCTGTTAAATGATCATAAACTTGCAGAACAGCGATACTTCCAGTTTTGCCTGTGTTAACCATAATGAGCATTTACCATGTGGCATTCTTACAACATCTCTGCCGACCGTGGTGCTTTAATGTCAGTGGGCTAATTTATTTAGTCTTCTGTGGGCTTCGGCCCTGCTGTGGAAATGCACATTACACTGCGTTCGAGGGTCTTGTACCCCAGGGACAGTTCTTGGGCTTTAACTCCTGGGAATAAAACACACCTAGGACTTTCTGGTGGAAATGCAGCTATATTTAATATCTGATGCAGTTTGTTCTCAGGTGTCAGTTTCAGAACAGATCTTGATCTCACTGACACACAAATAAAATTGTTACTGAACAAACCGTCATCTCCAATTCCATCTGCTTTTAGTATACCAACATAGCCAATCACAAAGCACATATGCTGTTATAGTGTCGTAGTAATTTTATGTAATAATTGTGTCAGTCTAATACAACATCTCTGTCATAAATCCTTCCTGTCAATAACATTTCTATAACATAGGTGCCATAGGTGAGGTGAGAACAATTCGATTCAACAGGTGTTTGTTTTACAAATACTGCAAAATGTGGTTTCACATTTAGCCCCCTTACTGCACAAGTCACTCACTTGGTGGGCTGTGACACCAGGGCGTCTCGGTGTAACCTGTAACAGGGGAAGCTGTTGAATGAACCCAGCTCCAGAGAAACTCCTGGTATGGTGCTGTACTCCTTCTCTACCAAGCCAAACTTCTCCATCATACGGAAGCCTCCAAGACAGAAATCATCATCACTACCTTCATCATCTAAATCAGTTGTGATCACAATTGTTACCACCACTAATGCATCCAACGTCAATATGTTATTGCTATCATAATAATTAGCTTCCTATCCAGGCAACTGGTACAGTGTTACATTGTTCCTTTCACTTTTGAAGCTCTTACCTGCCATTGTGTTACCGCTCATCCAAACAGATGGACAAGCTGAAAGAGAAAAGATTCTTTTAGTTCGTCCTCAGTAGTTCTGAACTCTCAGCCTTCAAATGCCTGTTTCCTTCCTTTTTTTTTCCATAGTTAGTTTTCATGTCTCACCACTAACACTACTCCTTTCTCAGTCTTCTTTCCACCTCCTTCACTCCATCTGCCACTCCTGAGTTTGCTGAGCTTTCTTTTTCCTTCCTGGTGTCTTAACCCCTCTTCTGTTTTACACATAAAATGAGGTGGTGTGACTTACTGGCGGTGACAGCCTCGCACACAAAGGTAATGAGCTGTTCTTCGATTTTCTTCACAGCATCCAAATCGTCCACAAAAAAGACGTGTCTATCGCTGGGCTTACTGGCGATATTCACCAGCTCTCCATAGTCTGCATCAGCAAAGCCAATGGCAAAGATGACATGACCTGAGGATGAAATTAAAGAAAACAATTCATTACACATTATTAGACTTAAACTAGTCTGATGTCCTAAAACAGTACAATTTGACAAACAGTTCATAAGCACTCAAGCACTGGGGGGTGGGATGGGAATGTCTTCCATCCTGCCTGTACTGTGCCAATACACATAACTGGCCTTATCAATGTCAACAAAATAATTGCTGGATCTTTCCAGAACTTTAACAAACCACTAATGATTTTACTTCTGTATTTGATGTATAAAATACCCACCGTCCATCTGCATCTCCTTGGACACTTGGTTAACATCATCTTGTGAACGTCCATCAGTAAGAACAACCAGGACTCTGGGAATGCCCCGTCTGGCCCCAGCCTCAGAGGTGAAAATGGAGTCTCTCACATGTTTGATGGCCCGACCTACAAAAGAACACTTGATTTAAACCACACCAATTATTAATGCAGGTTTAGCCCATATACCCATTTACAGTATACTTAACATTTATACCATCTGCTTTGAAAGCAAACCATTTAGATAGTTGTTGTACATTGCGAGCAGTATCTGCAAGACTCAAATTAGAGCTACTTTTATTTAATTTATCACATAAGTTTTGTGTCTGGTTTGTAAGATGAAATGCGTAAAGCACCACATTAGTTCTGGCAAAGCACCAACTATTCTTAAGTCTATGCAAGATTATTTTCATGCTGTGGTGAAGACATCCAGCAGGCTTAGGAAGGTGGCTAGCAGTGAAGTAACATACACTATATATATTTACTATGACATAGAGAATAAGGGCATCCGGCATGAAACACGTGCCAAATGTCAACATACGAATGGTCAGGGTGATGATTTGCTGTGGCGACCCCTAATGGGGAAAAGCCAAAAGCGAGAATAAATATGCAAACCCATTAATACTGTATGTGGTGCTTGGACCCACAACACTCTCTGCAGCACCATGTCTAGATATCAAGCTTCATTTCGTCACGGGTGAAACATTTTGCAGCAGTTAGTTAATCACTGCTTGTGCATACATTTTCCTTCCCATGTGAGGCTGGATGCAGATACATACTGTACATGGCAAACTAAACTTACTGGAAGCACAGATGTTTTTTTTTCAAGCTTTTTAAAAAAGGCCTCTTCTTGAACTGTTATAAAAAGATGAATGCTTGTGACCTTTTAATGTACTTCCTAATTAAAAAACATGTATTCTTTATTTTTACACTGACATTAATAAAATACATTATTGAACCCATAATTATTACATGACAAAGAGTGACCTAAAACACCTAAAACCAAATTTAGACCAAATACCCACTGGCATTTAAAATATGTCAGAAAACAGACAATGTCCTCTGCATTCCAATGAGCCCTATAAATGGAGTGAACTTCTGACAATGTGTAATTGACTTAATAAGTCAATACAATGTGTCTAGACAGCTTTAAAAGGTTTGAAGAACCACCTACAACAAGCGACCAAGATATCAATGCAACATTTGTCACTGAATCTAACAATGCCTCAGACGTACCATTGTGATTAAAGCAATTATTATTAAATTAAATTTTGAATAGTCAAATATTAACAAAGATGAATCAACACTCCAGAAAAACGTTATGCATAATTATACCGTATTTTTATTATATTGCTACTTATGTATTTGCCTCCAGACAGCTCTCTGCTGCTACCAACTGACATGACTGTGACTACTGTTGAAGTTAGTTCAAGGTATCACAACTTAAAATAACAAAACAAAAAAAAGTGAAAATGAAATGGTTGTCTGCTGATGCAGAATATATA